GATATTTAGTTTATGTAAACAAAAATAGCCAGAATTAGCGATATCAGTTTCCTTTGCGTGGGATGGGTCATCTACACTAGTATAGTATTACGTCATGTCATCTGTGCCAATACTAATTATTATGTGCAAACTAAATTGCAAATATCCACATAAAATTTTAACTTCTGTTTTGTTTGTTATAAGTATATAAGGTACCTAGGGACGTTCCCGAGCGAAGCGAAGGTAAGTTGCTAGAACTATAATATACTAATATATAGTTTGAAAACGTGATTATACTTAAATGAGATGTACTTATATCGCGCACAATGAGAAAATTTGCAGTAGGTGCAAAACAGACGCCCCACCGTCACGTGCGCCCGACGGCTGGAATTAATGCTCCCCTTTATGAGGGTTTTTGTAATGCAAATAACCAAATCGATACTCTCAGTGATTATTCTTTTGACTGAACAGTTGTAAATCGTTTTCGTATATCTTGTAGTAAATAATATTATTATAATACACTAAATTATCAATGATTATTATTTACTAAAAAACCTAAAAATAACAAAAAAAGAGTTAAAATTACAGGTGAATAATAAACAATTTACAAAGCGATATAATTTACTAAATTGTGCTTATATCACAAAATAATAATTTTGTGTTTTCCATTTTCATCAATAATACAATAATGTATATTATTTAGATCTTATCAAGTTATGATATCGTATAATTTTCCCTAGCCTATAAACATTTATAGTTGGGTATGGCTATATAGACAAGTAGCGTAATTAATAATATTATAGGACATCAAAGTTGGTAATTAATGGATAATAAATAAGAGAATTTATATCTGATTTGATAATAAATATATTGATATACGTCGGCAACAGAAGCGTAATTAATTATAAGCAACACTAATGGCCTACTAAACACAAAACACACTAACACTAAATTTGACCCTACACAACTGCTTTTGATTACCCACGTAATCTAAATTAGACACGATTATTATCTACTTTCATCCCCTTTCATTCAATGTAATATGCGATTTGTATTATATCAGACTGTTAAGTATATGATATAAAATATCCCTTAATCCCTCCACGACCGCGGACACGCCGGCGTTACAGTTAACAATAGATTTCTTAGAAATTTAATTTATTTCTTAGTTTACCTGGAGGTGTTAAGTAAGAATAATTAAATACATAAAGATATAAATGTGTGTATACAATCATACACAATAAAAAATGAAGTTTGAAAATTATTAAACTTATAAAATAAACGTGAATAATAAAGTATTAGTAAGTTAGTGAAAAATAAAGTATATATTTTGTATATTGGAATGCTATTTAATAATTTTATATATTATTAGCCACGCAAAATGGTCTCGGTGTGAAAAGGCAGCTGTCAACAGCATTGAAAACAATTAATTAACTAGGTCGCCCTACAATAGGAACCAATCAAACCTATATGTTTATATCAGGCAATTTATTGTATTATTTAGTTAGAATAATCATGATTTATTCACAAATGAACAAGTAAAATTCCAAGAATAATAAAGGTATTATTAATTATTATTAACATATTATAATGAATGTATAGTAATTTACAAAGGAATCTAGACTATATTCTATCATAAAGATCTTTTTAGAACTAAAAATTAATCAAATTTATATTTTCTTGAACTGAAATAAGATATTTTATAGATATAACTCGATAAAATCTAGCTAGTAGTATCTGGTAATAGTTTAATATAAGTATAAAAACAAAATTCATCCAGTAAAACTGTTTAAATATTTAAATAGTCATTGTGGCGTAATTAATGAGTTTAAAAATTTTAACATATTTTTTAGACATTTTTTTGTAATGATTCGATTATATTTTATATTATATAGAACAGTAACATATAAAAAAATATAATATGAAATTAAAAGTATAAAAACAACTCACCTTTTATAACCGATATCCATAGACATAGAAAACTTACACCGTCTTAATTTTAACACACCAATATTTTATATAGCTTTTATTTATCATGAAATTAAATATAATAATATCATGTAAGAGTATCTTTATCGCTACGAATAATATTTTGTAGAGTTTGCGTAGACACGCAACCGCTACGGTGGCTACGACGCGACTGAGCTGCTACGTGACCGTCGTAAAATAAAGATATTCGGCTACGATCGGCTGTCGGCGAAAATTGCCGAATGAAGTTGTTTATATCTGCGTAGACTTGCAAATATAATTTTAGAGAAATACTGAGTAAAATCAACAATCAAACACACAAATATCCAAAGATTGGATATTATTTATATACTCTTGTGGAGGTTCTGTCACATTTAAATTGTGGTTTTCCTTCGATGATCACTAAACAGGCGACTAAAGCAGATTTTTGTAACGTATATATTAATATTTTTAATAAAATTAAAATATGTAGCAAGATAATATTTTAATTTATTTATGATAAATGCCTTAAATGAACTTGTACAAAAGTTTCCCTTTAACACAATCTAAAAATATGATTTATACAGAAAAGAATATCATGTAAAATAAAAGTGCTACAAAAATAAAAAATATTTCAGTCTATTCTATAAAAATGCCGATGCCTTTGAATTTATTATGATTATAGATAGCCAAGTGCTAAAGCAGGGCTCAACGTTGTTATGCTCATGTTACCCGCGGGCGTTGTCCACAACGTCCATTTCGTTATCCGAAAATGAAGGTGAAAGTTATGTTTAAAATACCTTTTTTTATCATAAAGTAATATTATTTACATTTAATAGTTTTTATTTCCTAAAAGAAAAATGTAATCAATGGAGTTTAAGCTTTTGTATCACAATATTAATTTTCTCAAATCTTTCTCATATCATCTTTCTCAAAGCTTTTGTATCACAATATTAATTTTCTCATATCAAAAATTAATTTTTGTATCGCAATGTTTTTGGGTTTTTAACTGCTATGGACAAGGTTGATGATTAACAAAGTATACATACATACGTCTAGATATTAATTGACTTCCTTCAGTAAAATTTAAGAATGGTATTATACACACCAATTTTTATTCCTCCGCGTACTATTTTACCCAAATTATTCGAACTCGTATTATAATTGCGAATTATTTTTGGATGAGACGATTTTTTTTTAATTTTTGTACATAGATAGACTATATTTGGCTAATGACACATATGCAACATGTTACTAAGGGACACACTCGAGAGGAGCGTGGGTAAGTCGTTCATTCAATTATTTTTTTTAATTGTTTTTAGGTTTGTATATATAGTAAAGGACAGAAAAATTGCGCTTTACTTAATACTATACTTAAATTGAATGAGTAAAATAATAAATTTATAGCCCTGCTGTAAAAATCTTTTAAGCTAACAATAACAAAAGTTATATTCCGTTTAAAATACGTTATCATAAAACAAAGATATATGAATGCATAAAACAAACAAAACGACGACCCCATATTTCGGATTGAACGGATTTTTGCGAGTTTCATACTTTTATGACAGGGATATTTCAGATGGGACTATAATACATACATAGGTGAAATGAAATTTACATGGTCGTTTCGCGGCTATACGAAATATTTATCAGATTTTATAGTAAAAATAACATTTTTTGTATTCTAAAAAGTATAATTCACAGTTATTTGACAATTTGCACTAAAGGTCACATAATATGATATCTCTTAACTGTCAATCTACTATCATAGTATCAACTACTTTCATCTCTATAGGAATTTTTACGTAGTCAGATTTTTTTTTTATAATTTATATTTTTAGTTATCTTTTATTTATAATATTAATTATTGATTCTCCTAGAAAAATGATATTAAGGTATATTTATATAATGATTTTTATTAGCTTTAATGATTCAATATTTAAAAACGACTTCTAATTAGGTAAGTAATCTATACATATGATATTCTCCAGAGCGATTCCAGCCACGGCGGCCAATCTCATTGAGACTAGCCAACTGCGCAGGAGATATTATAGTGCATAAGTGCACTCTTTATTCCTGTCACTCTCATACTCCGGTGGGACGACCACTCGACACGACCAGTGAGAGTTAAGGCGCAGGACCGATGGCTTTACGCTATAAGCGCTTACCTATAGAAAACAAAGTTGCAGTTGTTAAGCTGATAAGGCGGGTAACTGAATATACATACATATATATGTACTCGTATTCTACATATCAAAAAGTACTTAACGTATTATACGAATCAGTTTTCGTGAAAGTATTTAGCAAGTTCTTCGACCTCAATTTTTTAGAATTTTTACATCATATCTTAAGGAGCTAGAGGAGGAGGATGATCTAACACAATACAATGATTACAACTTTAGAGTTAAATAATTCCGCTAATATAGGATCTAATAAAACAATTGTCTAGTAACATTTACCTTATCTATAGATATAGTAAAATTGTAGAGTTCGAATGTTTGTACATAGAAAAAACAAGCTAAAAACCGAGTCAGGGGCATGCAAGAAGAGAAATAGAACAAATCCAGTTTTTTTTTAATTTTTTTTGTTTCTCTGTCTGTTTGTATGTATGTACGGGCTAATCTCAGAAACTGTTGGACCAATTTAAATGAAAATTTTGCACGGTGGTACCTTATATCCCCGGTCAACATTTTAGATACCTTTCATCCCAGAAAAACTATAGTAACTTATACAGCTTAATACACAAAAACTACTGATTGGATTTTAATGAAACCTTACAATAATATAGCTAATATAGTAATCACAAATAGATTACTTGTTATACCGGAAAAATGTACGGTTCCTGTGGGATAGAATTGTTTTTGTTTGCCTAGAGGTGAACCCAAGCGAAGCGAGGGTGAGCCGCTAGTTAATAATTATAAAGATACAATGTTAGAAGCACCACTGTACTTTTCCGATATTTAGGTATATTATTTTTTTTTTTTTTTTTTTTTTTTAAATCTTTATTTATAAAGCCATACACCTATATAAGGTTAAGTCAGCTTATTGTTACATAATTACAAATTATACATTCAGACAGAGATCAGTTGTTTCCTTAATTCTAGAGAATGTATATAAAACCAAATTATGTGTTTACTATTATTGCTAGCGAATTTAGAACTAAGTACAGAGTGAAACAGGAACATAATATCTTGTCTTGGACATTGGGTATCTGTTAATAGCTTTATTCTAAGTGACTCATTAATTTTACATTCTATCAAAAGGTGCATTAGGTCCTCCTTCGTATTACACACAACACAATTGGGACTTTCTGTTTTACTCATGAGATAGCCAAAATTGTTCAACGGAACATGTCCTGACCGAAGTCTAAAACAAGCAACCAGTTCTTTATATGTCATCCTAGTATTACTGAACCAAGGAATTTGTGGAGGCTCAGCAGTAAGGGATTTGTACCAAATGCCTTTTTCGCAAGAGATCACATTATAATGTGTCTTCCACTGATCATAGCAAAGCTTCTTTACAATTGGGATATAATCTGAAGACTGTAGCGATACACGAAGAGGAATTCCATCAGATTGGGCTACTTTGGCGAGCTCATCAGCGACCTCATTACCAAAAACTCCCACATGGGAGGGTACCCATTGTAGGTAGACGTTAATCCCATTACGTATCATTGTTTGGATACTTTCAATAATAAGATAAGCCTCCTTTCTTCCTAACTTTCCTCTGTTGCATGCAAGAAGGTGATATAAACTACTTTTAGAATCAGTGAATATGACTATTTTTGTATAGTTAGTTGACGTTAAATAATGTAGGGCCTCAGCAATAGCCAAAAGTTCCAAGCACATGATGTTAACATTTGGATCATCTACGTTGAATTTGGCCGCCACCAGGGCGACTGGATCATAAAATGAACATCCATTGTGGTTCCCAGTCTTGGATCCGTCTGTATAAATTTGAACAAAATCTGCGTAATTTACTTGTATCATTGACACTGTGGCATCTTTAAGTTCTTTAATTGACAGTTTTGCTTTTGAAGACGTTATGTTTTTGATATCAATCTTTATTATACTTGTCAAATCAATTTTATAAATAATGAAAGGAAGTTGGTGGGATGGCCAGTTCTGGAATTTATAAATGTTTAAATCTTGATATTGACGGTGACTTGACTGTAACAGAGGAAGTTGGTTTTTTCGCCAGTAAGGTACATTAGACTTTATCAGATTTTCAAAAACAGCTAATCGTTCATGACAGTAATCATTTTGTCTAGAGGATATTTTAAGAAAGTATTTGTGGCTCAAGTAATTTCTACGTATAAAAAGAGGAGGTATACACATCTCAGTTTGCATGACATGAGTGGGTGTAGAACGGATGAAACCTCCACAAATTCTTAAACACTGGTTCTGTATGACATCGAGTTTCTGAAGCAACCTCGGGCTCGCGTTCCCGAAAAGAAAACATCCATAATCGAGTCTACTTCTTACTGTACTTATGTATAATCGTCGTAGATGTGTCGGATGAATACCAAAGGACAAGCCACTAACACAACTCAATATGTTAATGAAGGGTATACATTTTTGAGTTAATTCATTGATATGCTTTGTCCATTTAAAGCGACTGTCTATCCACATACCCAAAAACTTAATACATTGTACGACCTCAATGTCACAGTTATTAATATTTATGGAAATAAGTGGTAATTTGTATTTCCTTGATATAACGCACAGCTTGGTCTTAGAAGGTGAGATACTGAGTCCTATTGGTGTAATAAGTTCACAAAAGTTATGCAGTACATTACGGATAACGTCAGTACACATGTGGATACTGTCGTGTGAATAGTAAAAGGAAAAGTCATCTGCATACTGTGATATTTTAACGTCATATCTTATATCTCTACAGGCTTTTATTGTGACAATATTGAATAAAATAGGAGACATAGGGTCCCCCTGTGCCAAACCCTGACGAGTGGTTCTAACCAATTCACTGCCGTTGCTGAGTTTATATACAATATGACGCTCCTTCAGAAACTCGTGTATATACCTACATATGTACCGATCCACCTTGAAATGTATATTATAAGGTCAACAAAAATTTACAAACCCTTTTATTTAAAACTTTTATTAAAAACGTTTTATTTTCATTTAAAAACCGTTTCAGCTAGCAAAATATTACTAGCTAGCTCCACTCTCGCTTCGCAAGAAATTATTATGAGGAAAAAATAGTACTATGCAGTTTATATATAACTTCAATCAGCTAAATATAACTTAGCTAATAGCTTAAATAAACGAATGAAAAAAAATCAGAGGGCAATGCTAGTCAAATATATAAAAATATTTTTTCAATTTCAAAAATTTGTTTATTAACGAAGTCCCAGCTAAACGAAAAGCCGGGTACGACATGGATATTGATAATCTGTTTTTGTGTGAAACTTCGCACAGATCGGGACTTCTATAAATCATTTTCGAACGTTTCGCGGTTTTATACGGATTTTCGTGACGGTCCATTTTATTTTTTTCGATTTAGGTTTATCCGTAAGTCCAATACATCGTAATGATTTACAACTGGTCTCAATAAAAACACTGATAAATGACAGCACCATACCGTTCTCATAATATTTAAGCGTTTGATTTATATTTCATTGGCATTTTAATAAGAGAGTAGGTACAATGTTTATGTCCTTTTGTATGAAATCCAACAAAACAAAGGGTATATTTATTCTAAAAAATGTAAGCCATTGAATAGATGACTTGCATTACAAAACATCTACTGTTATTTGTAAAGGCTTTATGTTTATTATATAAGGCACGCGATATCGTGATTTCACTAAAAGCATCCCTGTATATAGAAACTTTGTAGGTAACATACTTTAATATAAATTTTATTCAACTGGCGTAGTTTGAATAGTGTTCTGCCGCAAAGAAATATTTTGGTGAAGGCAGTGAACGTATTAAATATTCACGGCAATATGCCGAGTGCGCGTTCACAAATAACTTATGCAAATATACACAAGACGCTGTGTTTCAAGAAGCGTAATCCTGTCTTTGTCGCTATAAGTTGAATTCAAATAGAAATAAGAGCTGTGATTTAATCGTGCCTGTAGGAATTTGACGATTAATTACTTGTACTATAGTATATTATTTTAGTACCCAAAAATATATAAGGTATTTTTAAGTACCTAAATGAAAAATCGCTATTGGTCACAATCATCTTATATAACTTTCATTCCCTGTTTTACCCCCTTATTTATTTTATTAAAGAACATTAATATCAAGCTTCAAGTAATTATTATCATAAATAAGTTTTTGGATTGTATTATAACGTGTTTTCCCGTGGGAATTAGATAATCTCCCGCGGTAAAAAGTAACCTATGTCACTCTCCAGCCCTCCAACTATCTCCACACAAAAAATCATGCTAATCGTTCACTCCGTTTTGACCTGAAAGAAGGACAAACAAATAAACAAACACACTTTCACATTTATAATATTAGTATGGATTATTGATTTACAATGTTACTTAAATTTTCTGTCAAAGAGAGTAGTAGTAGTTCTGAAGTTCTAGTTCGGAACTCAGAAGTTGGGACGTGGGCTATTCACAAAAGGAAAGTCTTCAAACGTGTAAAATTTAAAGTAAGCTGCTATTTTATTCTGCTCAAATTCTGTCACTTTATCTTGTAATAATTAAACACTATACAGTCTCTTTTATATACTAAGTTTTTTATATTATACTTAATCATATTAAATAAATATGTTTTTAATGATAACTATAGAAAGGACGAAATCATAAATAAAAGAACTCTTAGAGTTAAATATTAATGATTTTATAATTTTCATAGGTTTAAATAAACTTGTTTTTTTTTGCCCAGTAGTTGAAATTTGACCGTAATCATTATTGTAGAGAAAATTACATATGAAGTTACAAACCTATTTTAAATTTTACTCTAAAGGTCGTCAATAACTACTCAACAAAAAAAAAGAAAATCGGTCGACAAACAGAAGAAAAAAGGTACAGAACTGCTTTGTTTTTGCCTATTTATATATAAATATTTTCTAAATATCTTTATGAATGCGAAATATTTGCTCAATAAGTGGGATAGAATTAATTATACCGTAAGCTCTTGAAGGTTAATGGCTTAATACAAAAAGGTTCTATTGTGTGAAAATGTTAACGGGACCCTTTAGGCTAGTGTTTGTGACATTGTACTGAATGTTAACGAGATAAACTTTAATAGATAAATAACAACGGCCGATTATGCACCCTAAGTAACACTAAAAGAATGAATTGATCGCGATCTTCTATCCCACTAATCTATACCTACTAATATTATAAATGCGAAAGTTTGTAAGAATGTATGGATGTATGAATATTTGTTACTCTTTCACTCAATAACGACAGAATGGATTTTAATTAAACTTTACAATAATACAGTTTATACATCAGAATAACATATAAGCTACTTTTTATCCCTGAAAAATGTACGGTTCCCGTGGGATAGATTTGTTTTTGTTTTTCTAGAGGCGAACCCCAGTGAAACGAGGGTGAACCGCTAGTATTATATACGCGAATTTTAAGACCGCGCACGCATGCGTGTGTGTGTTTGTTTGCGTGTTTATTTATTATTATCTTATATAGAATATCCTCAATAAATACATCGGCTTTACAACGTACCAAGTGATTTCTTTTATTGCACACAACATGACTAATAGATTATTTATCCCTTTTATTTTTATACAGTATATTTGTACGCTCAGACAGGGACGTTTTAAGCACGTGTGGGAAATACGTGCAATAGCTGTAGTCTTATTGAGAAGTGCAGGGTTTAAAATGGCTAGGGAGAGATGGAAGTCGGCCGATAAATATTTGAAATATCTAAATGAATTACTAAATAAAATATTAAAAGTCTATATTTTTATATTACATTTATAGATGATTTGAGCATAACTTACCTACTATTAAATCAAAATCATAGCAGGTTAACGACAAGAAAATCGGTTTTATTGAACGCGAGAGTGTATGTAGGTATATATGTACATATTATGAATGTGTAGACTTTTAACTAGGCTACGCGTCTAAACGCTAGTAGTAACATAATATTGTAATATTTAGCAATTTTATAAGGAGTAGATCATTTTATTAAAATTTAATTTCATTTAACTAAATATCTATTTAATTTTTCCCACACATTGTTAATTGATCGACTTACCTAAATAAAAATAATTTTAAAGAATAAAGCATTTGTGATTTTAAGAAAATATTAAACAAACGCGTCGGAACATTACTAAAACGTGCAACGGTAGAACTTGTGTGCTCCAATTTTATTATTAGGAGGGTTTTCAGTGGATGGCATATCATTGCATTGTGAACTGTCCGTAAATCTTCCTACATCCCTTTTGTTTCATCCCTCGGATGCTGAATACCCGAGCTTGGTAGTCCAAACTCGCTTGCGTTTTTGAATCCGAATGAATAGCGTACCTTTTAAGCAGCTAAAACCAGAATTTTACTTTGTTTTTATATCTCTTTTTGAATACAGTGTGGTGAAAAAAAGCATTCACTTGCATTAATTGTACAAAGTACGTTAAAATTTGAATAAAAGCTATATGAACAATATTGCTGGAGTAACTTCAGATTGAATAATACGAGTTAATCTAAGATTGTTATTTAATATGGACCAAAAAACAATATGACAAGCAATATTTGACAATGATCAAAATATTATGGAAATGTTCTAACTTTAAGTCTCCATAACTTTTGACTCCTTCATTTCCTCAAAATATTTTTTATATATTTGAACTCCTTATCACCTCGCTTACCCAAAAATACCACTCACTTCTCCAGGGGCCGCGTCTCATATACTAAGCTTGTGCCCAGTAGTTTTCTCGTGATGCGGTCACAGACATACATACAGACAAATGTTCTAAAAACTATAGATTCGTCCTCTGTATCGATAATAGTTACTATTTCAATAAGATTTTCCAAAAAACATATAATGTACAGATTCGACTCAGAAGTTTATTATATGTATAGAATATAGATACAGATATATACATATATGAGTATATAATATAAAAATGTAAGAAAACATTTTATTTGCTCATCAAATATACAAAACTCTATTAAGAATCAAATCATATATAACTTAGCCACGGAAAATAAATAAGGGTTGCTCATTACAAAAGTAATCTAAACAAACTACTAACCAAGTAAAATGCCAAATTTACCAAATTAGAACTTTCCTGACCCTTTTATATCTAAGTTATTGCCTGTCCTAATATGTTTCGACAAGAATATGTTCATTTTAAATAAAACTATCTTTTCGGATTTTGTCGCGGATTTATTTGTATTTTTGTTTCCCGACGTTTCGAATGCTTTACAGCATCCATGGTCACGGGAGAGACTGAGGTGTTACATGTCTTTAAGATATAGTTGTTACAGACAGCCTACCCACAATTAACAAAATGAAAATTGCACCAATTACATTACAATATTTTAACTTTAAATATTTTTATAATTTTAATTATAATTGAATATGGAAAATTATTTATTTAATTTTTGCTATTATTTTTATAATTATTACAATTTTAAAAATATTAATTAGCAATCTATATTTAGTGTTGCCATTATTATATTTATAACCATAAGAAAAATATAAAATATAGTATTAATTATTTAAGCCACAATTGATCTATGTGTAATTTGAAAAAGTTAAGATTAATTAAAAATAATAATTTTAATTTAAATTTGCTATTATTTAAAAAACAAATTATTAAGCAACACATTACTACATACATTTACAAATGAAAAAGTGAAAAAATATTATTA